TTCTTCTTCTTCTTCTTCTTCTTCTTCTTCTTTTTCTTCTTCTTCTTCTTCTTCTTCTTCTTCTTCTTCTTCTTCTTCTTCTTCTATCAACATAAATCTGCCGTATTATTTCGAGCTGTGTGTGTGTCAAGTCTACTCTAAAAATTAATTATCAAAACTGATCAAACTTTTAAGAGCTTTGCGTACAGATTAGCAAATGTAAATTATGTTTTTACGAGTCTGTTCTTTTCAGTTTATCAGACGTGGGTTTAAGATGTGATAATCAGGGCAGTTGGCACATATTAGTTATTAGGCCTATTATCTTATCACTTGAAAGGCTCAGTGGATAATTTTACCAGACTGTAATCTCGCCTGACATCACGGAGAATAGAGAACCTTGATCAGCGTACTAGGTCAAGTAAATTCTCCATTGGGGGTCTTTAGTTTACCTTTACAGATGAAAGAAGACTCATAAACTTTTTCCATGAGTGGACTTTCATTCACCTAAAATACGGTCTATAAAGATGAAGTAAAAAACTACACGTCCAGTCTGTGGGAGAAACATGTATTGGAGTAACTAACCAAACAATACATTCCACAATATCATGCCCAAACAAGACACACGAAACCTTCGGGCCTCTCCAGAAGAGACGAAGATTTACTCGATTACGAATTGGACATACCTCCTTGACACACACATACCTCCCGCAGGGAGATGAGAAACCTTTTTGTGTCGGACGTGATATTGATTTTATCATTAGACACGTACTAACAGAATGTTGGGACTTAGGAGAGACCTGAAAGAAGTATTAGAAAAGTAGAAATTTGAAAGATCTGTTCTCCATCGTTGATATCAATAGAATCCTACATTTTATAAAGGCCAGTAAAATGCAAATATTGTTATTTGAATTGAATGTAAATTGCTGTTGTTTTTACAACAAAATTTTTAACCTGAAAATATTAAACCATTTAATCTGATTATTGATCAAAGCCAAGATGTGCTGTGAATTGTAAAGCTGTTATGTATGCAACCAACTTGAGTTTCGTGCGCTCATAAGTGACCTAATGCAGTTGCGAGCGTCGTAAAACTCTTACTAAGCTACTAAAGTGCACTTTAACCCTTTCACTGCCAGGCCTGCTTCCCCATCCTACCAGGCCCTTAGACAGCCAGTAGCGGGGCAGGCAGTGAAATGGTTAATATCAACAAGTACTTAATCTATTCGTGAGGGATTGGCAGTTGCTCTGGTGTGGGTTGCTCCGTCTTTCCTGCCAAACATTTACCGTCGTTATCTTTCCTCCTTTCTATGTTTTTTGTTACTCTCTTGTAAAATCTCTAATCTTCAGCACTTATAGGACTTAATAATAATTGTGTTGCAAGTGATGTAAAACTCTTACTAAAACTATAACCAAACAATCTGTTCAGACCAGACGGCAAGCTCTTCAGCCCCTCCTGACAAGGAGCAAAGTCGGAAGTCAAGCTGGGGTCCTCTCTGAAGATGACGTAGTCCTCACATACTTAGCCGACAGCCTTTCTAAAAACGCAATAGCCTATACTATGTGTCACGACACAACTGAATCAGACGCTCATCAGTTGTTGTTTTTGGGGGAATATAGACTATTGGTATTACCTTAAAGGTTGTTCATTTAATTTAACTGCTAATGATAATGAAAAAACAAACTACAACAACAAAATAACATTGATCTTGAATAGAAGTCAAAACACTGGCGAAAAAAAGAGCCTGCGCTCAGAGGTAAAACTAGAGAGAAAATTGCCGCCAAAGATTGATGACTCCAAAAAGCTTGAGTGTCCTTGGAAAATAGTAGATCTAGGCTTAGTTGCATTTTTTGTGCATTTAATCAACGTTTTTCAGTTTTAAAAAAATACTCACAGAAATGTCTATTTGATGGATATAAAACGTGTTGAGCTAAAAAAATAAAAAAATTTAAGTCGTTAAAAATTGCCCAACGAGAGAAAAAAAAGGGTAGTTTCTTTCGATTTCTTTGTTTTGGCGAGCGCTTGATTGCACCACAATGCTACAATATATCATTTCCATTACCAGTACTTTTGTAAAGGGGAACGCCCTTCGTAGAATCGAGCAATTTGGGGGAACGGTTAAGACGCTAATCTAGTAATCAGCGTAAAGGTCAGGTTGAGGTCTCTAATGGGAGCGTACTTGACCGTCTGTACTTCGCGTATCCGGGATCTCCACTCTGTGTGAGTCCAATATGTCATGCACTAAAGACGATTTTTACGTCTTTTAAAAGGAATATCACGATATACCGTCAAGTACAAGTACAAGAGGAACTTCACGATAGACCGTCAAGTACAATAGAAACACCACGATAGACCGTCAAGTACAATAGAAACACCACGATAGACCGTCAAGTACAATAGAAACACCACGATAGACCGTCAAGTACAATAGAAACACCACGATAGACCGTCAAGTTAGATCAGAAACATCACAATAGACCGCCAAGTTCGATCAGAAACAGCACGAAAGACCGTCAAGTACAATAGAAGCATCATGATAGACCGTCAAGTACAATAGAAGCATCATGATAGACCGTCAAGTACAATAGAAGCATCATGATAGACCGTCAAGTACAATAGAAGCATCATGATAGACCGTCAAGTACAATAGAAGCATCATGATAGACCGCCAAGTACAATAGAAGCATCATGATAGACCGTCAAGTACAATAGAAGCATCATGATAGACCGTCAATTACAAGAGAAACATCACGGTTGACCGTCCAGGTGACCGCGCCGATGTTTGCCGTATACCCAAGAAATTTAATGTATGGGTTCATTAACAAGACCACCAAAACATATTACATTAATTTTACAGATTACCTTCCGAGGTCAACCTGCTTAGATCCCTCTCCCCACTCCCAAACCAACCCCAGGAGTAAGCAAACAGGCTGCTATCGCATGACGTGACGACGGTGCTTCTTGGAATATAATTTGTCCATCTACAAATGGTCGTTTTTAAGCACAAGCAGGGGCTTATCCCGTAAAAAAGGTGTTTTGAGAAAATCGAGGGTAAAGATTTTGCCCCTTGTTCAGTTTCTTTACTTACAAGACAAGGAGAGTTGTTTTGTTTTGTTTTTCTATAATCAAACAAATATACACACCAATGAAACCAGAACTTCTCCTATAGGTAGGGTAATGACAACTTTGGGCGTAGGGCAAGATTTCTTGTAACCCCCAAAATATGGCCGGGTTAGCCCACTTGTTCTTAAAAGCGACCAAATGTCGCATACTTTGCATTGTCCTACCGAGCGACCAAGCTTTCCATCAATCGACATGATAAATTGAAGAGAACTGATGCCCACGATTATAATTATTATTACGAGTTTTATTATTTATAGTATTATTATTGCTGTTGCTGTTGCAGTTGTTGTTGTTGTTGTTGTTGTTGTTGTTGTTGTTGTTGTTGTGTTATTATATTTTAATCATATCGTTTAATTATGCATTTTTGTTGTTGTTTTTTTATTATCGTCATTATTATAATTTTAGATGTTGTTGTTGTTGTTGTTGTTGTTGTTG